GGAATTCCACTATTTCCTGTCATACTTCCTGTAAGTGCAGGTGGACACAATGAAGCCGACTGGAATTCTCCCTGCAACAGTTCTATCAGAGTACAAGAATCTTCTTGGACCACCAGATGTTGATGTTTTCCACCTGCCATCACCTCTAACAACTTGACATAGTAGATGACAAGGAAGTTGTAGTAAAACAACATCTGAAGACCCATGGTTGGGAACCACTGCTCTGGACTTCAGTACATTGCTCCTCAAGCAATGCAATGATATACCATCATACGAACCAGCTTGAGGTATCTGCATACATACCACACACACACACATACACACATATAAAAAGCAGCCTCAGCTGGACAAAGATTATCCATGACAAAAGTAGCGGTGCCATTTGGCATGCTAGTTAACAGCATGTGCTTCAAGCAGCAGCAGCCACAGCAGCATGACGCCTGCGTCATTTCAATAAGATATAGAAGAGCAATTAAAAAAAACTCTCAGAAAGAATTTTGCTATGAGCTTTAACAAAAGTCTGTCTGTATGATAATATCATACAATACAACAGTGTCACAGCCCATTTTGTGGTGTTTATTTGAGGGGGGTTGCTTTTGGAAGCCTGTAAAATATACATGAACAAAGCTGAGGGGACTTTGATACAACAGGCACCACCTCTAGGTATAGTATCTGGCTAGTGTTAACGGCCCCTTCTACCCCTGGACTAGGGCTTGAATCCCAAGCAGTCTTTCTACTCATAAAAAGTCTGATTCACAGCTCAGTGGAGCACCTCACAAACTCAACCCAAGAATGTTCTTCCACTGACAGAAAATTGTACATAATCATTAAAGCAGTGATAGGGTGACCAGTTACTAATGAAAAAAGAAAGACATGTCACCAAAAAAGTCAACCCTGCTCCCCAAAAATGACAAAGTAGAGCATAGATTCAAGTAAAGGGACGTGGTGGCGCTGCGGGTTAAACTGCTGAAGCCTCTGTGCTGCAAGGTCAGAAGACTAGCAGTCGTAAGATCGAATCCACACAACGGAGTGGGCTCCCCATCGCTTGTCCCAGCTACTGCCACCCTAACAGTTTGAAAGCATGTAAAAATGCGAGTAGATAAATAGGTACCACCTCGGTGGGAAGGTAACAGCATTCCATGTCTAGTTGCGCTGGCCACGTGACCACAGAAACTGTCTTCGGACAAACACTAGCTCAATGGCTTGGAAACGGGGATGAGCACTGCACCCTAGAGTTGGACACAACTGGACTAAATGTCAAGGGGAACCTTTACCTTAGAGCATAAATTCAAATAAAATGTGAATACTGTATGCTCCATTAGATGCAAACCTAGAAGCACATCTCTCTTCAGTAGGCAGTATTTACAACAGGTGACCCATGTGCCCGCTTAGCCTAATACCCAGGAACTATCCAGCTCTTCTTTCTCAAGGTTCTTCACCTTTAAAATGGACCTGGATGGAATAATCCTTCAAGGAGAGGACTCTCCTTTGTAAAAGACAATAGATGGTCATCCTAGCAATAGATGTGATCCATTAGAACACCATGAAAACTCCTGCTAATGTCTACAGAACAGTGCCAGCTCCTACGTTCCTTCCATGGAGAGTTCCTTGAATCCAATCAGTCATATTCACAAGAAAAGGCAGTTGTGATGGACTCAGTGATAGAAACCCAATCCACATTCTTTCAAGAAAGTTATTACCAGCAAATTGCACATCTCATAACAAATAATCTCCCCTCCATCATTTTAAATTGCACAATGAACACCACGGCCATCAAGAAGGAGTCCAAGATGACACGAGGACAAGTTTACACAAGTGGCAAAGTGGATTTACTTTGCAGGAAGAAAAATCACTCTCACATGAGACAGAAATTGGCCCATTTCCTTCCATTTTAGTTACATTGATTCTACATTGGAAACACATATTGGACATTAGAATATATCCAGATTTGTTGAAAGCTTATTCAGTTGTTCTGTTGCAGAATGTAAAAAATCAAAGAAAGATAAAACAGTCAGCAGGCTCAAAGGTACTAGTCAGAAACTAAGAGTCTGAATTTCAGATGCTACTTTTGTAAGTTTTGTGGATATGTGAAAGTGTGTGTGTTTTAAAACAATGCAGAATGGTTGGCTCAAGGATTTTGCTCTGTGCCTTCCTCTGCTTGCTGCATTCATTGTTCTGCTATATAGTTCAGCAAATACATTCCCATGTAATAAAATAAAAACACTGTATAATAACACTGAAAAAAAGCTAGGCACAAGTGGAGGGAATTCTTCTTCAATTCCAAATTGGTATATAGAAATCCAATGTATCAGAATAAAAATATTGAGCCACCTTCTTCAGATTTTATAGTTAAGTGTTCTAATCCTGAGTGGTGTTAGCTGAGACATAGGTGGGAGAATGGACCAGAGGAGCTTTTCATTAACACAAAGCTAGAGTAATAAATAAATATATTTTAACTTTCTAGAGTTTGAAATCTGAAATTTCAACTTTTCAAAATTCTGCCAGCTTCAGATTACTGTTTTAATTTTTTTTTTAAAAGGTGCATTTTTAAAGTGCAAAACATACAAACTAAAAAAGATCATTTCTTAAATCAGTGGTTTGTCACACTGAAGCATTGATTATGAATACAGTATAGCATTTAACACCAGCTGTAGCAACCTACATGCATTTTTCAGAATTAAGTTGTCTGTTCTCTTTATTCTCTCTGTTTAGGGATATTGATGATATTTGTACAGGAATGTCTGCATTCCAGTTCTTACACCTTAAATGTGAGAAGTACCCAGCAGGTTTATTGGCTGAGAAGGCATTGCTATCTGAAATCCCCTACCTCCACAAGATACAATCTAATTACCCTTAACATCATGATGATGAGTAGAGGGTTCTGAAAGATTGCTCTGATACTAGTGGCCAAAGCTGTAGGGGCCTTGCCTCACACTGTAGCACAGCTGGAAAGGTTATCTATACCGAGATATCTATATGTCAGCCTTCTTTAATCTAGCATCCTAGGTTTGATGCCAAGTGTAGTTCATTGCATTTGCAAAGCCCCTTGCTAGGGAAGGTAGTTATCAGGAATAAGAAAGGGATCCTAGCTGAATGGCAGAGCATATACAGTACTGTGCCTGAATGCTAAAGACCCCAGATTTAATGTCAACTTAAAGAAGAATGGGAAACAGCAGGTCTGGATCAAGTGCATAGATTGCAAGGTTCAGAACAGGATGTATGTAATGCATAATTCTCTGGCTGACAAGCTAACAGACACAATGGTCGGGGATGTTTTAGGCATGAGAAGTCTGGACTTGGTACATGGATTAAGACCATTTACCTATGGCAGTCTTTTCCATCTCTATGATTCTACCAGCCAACAGAACCAACAGCACTTTAACAGAAGGTTAATGTGAAGACTAGCATTGACTCTATCCAACTAAATAAAAGTGCTGATGTCCCTTTTTTAAAAAAAAAACAACAACAACACTTAACAGTAAGGAATACCCATACTAGTTTTCAATGGGGCTCTTATGCCTTTAAGCAGATTCAGTGTGCAGTAGTGTGTATGGGAGACACAGGAACAGGCTGAGATGACAAACAAAACTCCCAGAATCATAGATGGGTGCCCTTCCTACTCTATAATTCAGTGATTTCATGATTCAGAAATTAATATACCAGAGAAGCTATGTCTCTTCCCAGTCTTATGGTGCCATCAGACACCATAACGATATACGTAGTTCACATTTTAGACCGTTCATGGCACGTTCCAATGGGAGTTATTTTCCAGTGACCAGATGATGTTCAGGAAATCATGAACTGGCCCGGCTCTGCTCTGTGCCCAAGTTGGACCTTTTTGGTTCAGTGGCAGGGGTCTTTTTTTGTTTTGTTTTGAGTTGGGCTGTAGTGATTCCTGTATGTACAGAAGGATCACTTTAAGGCAGATTGCATCTAGAGAAGTGACCCTTCCCAGCATGCTCAAACAAAATCCTATATTGCCATCTGATTGCGGCCTAAATCTAACAGCCAAACCGACTACATGTACTGTAGTTGACTTTCTGTGCAATTATCCAAAAACAAACAAACAAAAAACCACCAAAAGGTATCTCCCTTTTACACTAGTAAGAAGCTAACAGACTGCCTTGCTGACTTGATAATCTCCTTCCCTAGCAAAGTTATGAAGTTAGTCATTGGCCAATTCTGTGTATATATGACAACACATATACAGTAATTAATATCAGTAAATGCATAGCCACAATGGTTTCTTGCTCAGAAAAATAGTGATGCCAAGGAACTATTTGCAAGCTGAGGGTCGGAGATATGCCAAACCACAAACCAAAGAGCGCCTTGAATTTCACGTCTCTGTTGGTCATGTCCTTGGTTTGTACACTGTAAGGTTCCTTTGAATACTGCACATATGACTCATGACTTGGGTTCTCAAAGGGGGAATACCCCTTATTAAAAGAAACCTGTGGAAAGGCATACCATCTTCATTTGGTAAATTCAGACGTGGTTCAATAAACGTTTCTGCAAGGAACTAATGCCTGCCGTATCATCCTCCAACTCGCCGGTAACATGAGTCATCAAAAAACCCACGGAAGGGTTTCTGTGGAAAACAGCAATAACAAAAAAGCCAAGCAGGGCGCTCAGTTGAGAACATTGCACTAGGTTGTAGAAACATCGTAATTCCCCGTTATTGTGCAATGCCTTTCAGAACTGCAGGCAGCATCCTGAAAGTTGCAAACCTCTCTCTTTTTTTGAAAGTACAAGGTTCAACAGAGAGAAACAACACTACTCCATCTACACTTCCTCTCCAGCTCAAAGATGAGCAGGACTCTCGTACAGCCTGATAGTCCATTGGATGTGTGTCTCCTTCCAAATCCTAGTATTCTACCAGAAATAACTCAAGTGCAAGAACTGGATGCCAACAGGGCTTAACAAGTCTTTAGCAGTCATGAGTACAACTTCTAGGAATAGCAACTATGGCAGATACTTAAACATGAAGCAGAGGCAGTGGCCTCTCTTCAACTCCGTTGAGTCTTTTCAGGAGTGAGAATCACAGCAAAGCTAACACAGTCTCTTCCTCTTCCTCTTCTTCGCAACATGTCACCTCCTCTGCCTTGTCGTGACTAACAGGAGGCCACAAATACCAAGATAGCTTCTCTATGGCTTCTGGCTTAGGGTGCTATGTTTGCGGGGGAGGGGTTCATTTGCTGATGTTTAGAGGCCTGCGCTATCGAACATTGTCTGCTCACTGTCACTTAGCCTTGCAAGGTTCCTTCTTTGATTTGTTGAATAAAGAGATTCCTCTCATCTTCTGGCGTCCGACCATTCTGGGCTCGGACGATACATGTAGGCCTGTGGAGGTTCAGCATGTAGATCAAGTGCTGTTTCTCATTCTTCAGCTCCTCAATCTGCGCCTTCAGGTCTGCATTGATTGTTTCCAGTTTTTCTGATTCCTGGTTATAGCAAAAGAATACAAATTGTAAATTGGGTGAAATTCATGTTATCCAAACATTTGCCTGAGTCTTTTCCTAATTATCAAACTTATCCATTATTCATGGGTTTTGATGATTTTCCCCCAGTAGATTTTTATTATTTCTATGTTCTATTATTGTACATTATTTTGTTCATTTTCATTGTAAATCACTTTGGGATGATAGAAGCATCTGTTGCATCAGCTTCACTGGCTGCTGAACTGTTTCTGGGCACAACTCTTAAGTTCTGGTTTTAACTTATAAAGTTGTAAATAGCTTAGGTCCCACACTCTAGAACTCCCTCCCACAGGAGTCCACACTGGCCCCATCTTTGCTGACCTCCCGGAAGCAGATAAAGACCTTTCTTTTCAAGCAGGCTTTTCCTTAGTGAATAATACCTCGGGGATAAATTTTGCTTATAAATCTTTGTGTGTTTTTTAATATTTTTATCTAACATTTTTAATATAGTATTATTAAATATTCTTTAATATTTAAATAATTCACTATTTTAAACTTTTAATATTGTGTTTTTATTGATGAAAACCACCTTGATAACTTTTTAAGGAGAAAGGTGAGGTAAAAATATTTTAAATACATAAAAAAAGCTGGATGGAAATGTTCAGAAATGAGTATTAACCAGACATTTCTGGACCTGAAAGACAGGAGGAAGGAAAGAGGGAGAGAGGCATTCAGGATTCACCCTACCTATTCCTCAGGCATTTGATTTGATAATTTTCTTTTCATGCAAATTTGCTATTGTCATTATATATTGTAGCAATGTTAATTTAACACTTACAATACATTTATATCCAACTGAATTATACAGAGAGATTTTGCTTTAATACAAAAGGACAGCAAAAGTGAATTTTACAAGAATTAGCTTCAATCATTAATCACCAGTCAATCATAGAACAAAAGGACCATCAAGTTATAATTCTGAGATGTAATGATTCTCTGTGCAACCCTGAAAGATCTACTGTACTTCCTTTTCCATTTCTGATTGATTACGATTCTTATTCACTTCCTGGTCATCTTCCAACCTTTGTCATGCCCTCAGCCTCAAACCCCTTCCCTCCATGCAGCCCAGATTATTTAAATATCTGAAATAACCAAAGCTTTTTCAGAACAATCATCCAGCCACTGTGGTCAGCAGGAGTCAAAAAATTAATATTCCCATGCGCTGTTGCACTGTCCAGATGTGCAATGTTCCTGTTCCAATCTCTGAAGTGGTTTCCCCTATTGTCCCACATCCCCTTTTAAACCCCGCCCCCCCAGGGACTTTCTACCCATATTTTCCCAATGTATTTCTTCCATTGCTCCAGCTCAGCAACTCCCCTCCTAAATTTACTTCTATCAGATATTATTAGAATTCAAAGATTCAACTAGGTCTGCAGTCCACTTTTGAGCATATCTCTGTGTGTATGTGTGAGAGTGGATGAGTGAATTCCCCCCCCCTTCCTAGTAATTTCTTGAAATTAGACCAAGCCGAAACACAAGAATGGCAATCTAAGGGCCAAAATCACATTGACATTTAGGCTTCAATAAGTGAAGTGGTGGATGGATCCAGTACCTTGTTCATGAGTTGCAGTTTGCTGCTAAGACTTAGGCAGCTTTCCTTAGGTAAAGGTGAGTTGTCAATAAGATTCTAGCCAATGAAAACTGGACCCGCTTCTTAGGTCTCACTGAAAGTCAAAAGCTATACCTGCTTTAACCATCATTAACACAGAGAAGAACAGGAGCAGTATTCAGTAGCTTCGCCCTAGCTGTACTTCATGATCAGTTCAGATCAGAAAAGTTCAAAGCCACTTGTTAGAGTAATTCTAACTGAAGGGCCTCTTTATCCACTATCTTGTCTTCCTTGTCCAAATACCGATGAAAAGAAGTCCATGAACTTACTTTCTGCAGACATTCAGTTTTTTCCTTCTTTTTATTCCGACATTTTGCTGCAGCAATCTTGTTTCTTTCCCTCCGTCGTCTTTTCCTCTCGTCTTCCACCGGTGCAGACTAGCAAAACGCAAACAGGTGAAGGCAGTCATCAGCAAAAGGCAGAAGCTTTGTCACTATGCCACCTACCAGTATGACAACTAATGATACAATGATCCTTGCCTAGACTTCTGAACAATTAACAAAACTATTCACCAGTCAACCATCAACTCAGCATTATACAAGGCATGTTGCTAGATGGAAGCTATCTGGCATATTTCACACACAGCTCAAAACACTGCATTTTAAAAGGAGTTTGTTATGATGCTTGTTACCTCAGGCAGGTATCATCATTGCTCTGATCATGCACGTAATTCATTGGCTGAAATCCTGTTGTATAGCATAGAAAGTCACAACTAGATTACAGGCATTGAATCAATGGAGTTTATAGAGTTGACTACTCTAGTTGCAATGTACTATGCTAACCAAAAGGATTTCAGGCATTGTGTTGCATTTTATTAATGCATATTTATCTGGCTTAACACTACCCACACTTAGGCTACAACCCTATGCCTACTGGATACACAACAGTTTCATACATTTAGTAAAGCTTAGCACATTCATCAAGATGAAGGGACATGATAGTCACGTTTAAATATTTGAAAGGATGTCATATTGAAGAGGGGGCAGGTTTATTTTCCAGGGCTCCAGAGACTAGGACATGGAGCGATGGTTTCAAACTACAGGAAAAGAGATTCCATCTGAACATTAGGAAGAACTTCCTGACAGTCAGAGCTGTTCAGCAGTGGAATAGGCTGCCTCGAACGTTGGTGGAGTCTCCTTTTTCGGAGGTTTTTAAGCAGAGGCTGGATAGCCATCTGTTGGGAGTACTTTGATGGATGTTCCAGCATGGTGGGAGGTTGGACTGGATGGCCTCAGTGGTTTCTTCCAACTCTATGACTCTAAGATTGTTTCCAAGAGACTATGCTGTATAGGCTCTATTAACTGTTATAACACTAGACCATTGGCCATCTGGCCATTCTAGATGGGAAATTATGGCCCCAAACATCTGCAGTGCACACTTGCCTTTCCCTGGATACCATTACTGAACACAGAAGTGTTTCTTTTATTTTTGCTTTCTTTTAAAGAGAAGTACCTCTGCTTTTAAAATGGATATTTCACTGGGCCGATTGGAAACCACAACCGTGTCCAGCGTGGAGGGCATCCTGTGGGACAGGCACTTATTCTGAATGGCAAATCTTAACTCTTCTTTCACCAGTGGAGTGAGATTTGTGAAGTCTTCAAAAATCAGTGAGCCTGGAGGGGACAAGCATGGAACGATGGCAGATGCGCTGACTTCGGAAGCAGGCACCTGGCCCGGATGCTGGAGCATCATTTTGCTGAAAGAAAAGGGAGGGTCAGAATCAGTCTTTCTGGTAACAAGGCAAACATATCTGTGCAAAACACAGTTCATTCTCAGCTGACACCTAATTCATAAAATGCAACATGGAATCATACCGATAGGAGTTATACACATAAACGTGGAAAGAGTCAGGGGATCATACCGATAGGAGAGTTATACACATAAACGTGGAAAGAGTCATTAAATGCAACTAGGAATGACCATTTATACAGAGGTATTTCTTGTTTGTTCTAATGTGAGCCAGTATTACCTTCTAGTATTTATGGCTATCCAATTTATGACCGAGTACTCATGAAGTGTGAAAAACAGTACATTGAAAGAAATGATGGAAAGTGTTGTGGCTAGTTCAGTTATCTGGCTGTGGAGTCAGAGGTTGGGAGCTTGATTCTCCACGGAGCCTCCTTGACAGGGGCTAGATTCAGTGATCCATAGAGCTCTGCAGCTCTAAGACTATTAAAGTTGCATGACATTTTATGCCACTATCCCACCACAATTTGAACTGTGCCACCTGCATTGATTAAGTCATCTTCCAATAATGCTAAGGATCAGCAACAGAAATGGTCACATGCTTAGGTTGCTCGCAAATGTAAAGCGTAGTATATATGTGTCCCAACGCTCAAGAAGGTTATCATTCAGAAGTAACAAGATTATTTTGCTCACAACTGTCCCACCATGTGAATCTTTGATGAGTGCCATCTCTTTTCATGGAATTATGTTGCGCTTTTTACATCCACACAACACATGGCGTTCAGTGTACTTTCTCATATTGTCACACTGAAATCAGCCCACTCCTTCAATCTTTGTTGAGGAGATCACAAATGTTGTGTTCAGACGAATGCAGCATTGCCTTACGTAGATCACACCGAATTCCATTTTATTAAAAGAAGCAATAAAAGTCTGCAAAACTTCATTAGTGCAAATCTAGAGTTAGCTTCACAGAGATAAACCAGTTACTTCCTTTGGGCATCCACAGATCAAAGTGAAGCTATTACGTTGTCATACTAGACTTCACATATATTATATTTTTTTTGTAATCGCAGCTCCAGGTGGTGGTGAAAAGTCAGACAAGTCTAATTATGATCAGCCACACCAGCATAAATAACATATTTTTACACTGCTGCATTTGAAAGTGTAAAATTTACTTTTAAAAAATTCCATTTTATTATGCCCTTGTTCTATGGTAAGAATAATTGAAACTGTTCTAGTGCTACAAAACTTTATAGCTGCCTTATCGCTCCAGAATTTAAAAGAAAATACTTGGAGGAGGAATTACTATGCAACGTACATATAACTTGTCATGTTTGTTACTCATATGAACATTTTTGCTATATTCATCCAAAAATATGCACACCATAATATATGAACACATGGGGAACTCAGGGCCAATCACGTCTGCAAAATGCAAATATTGGGCAATCTATACAGAACCTTTATATTAAATCCTCCAGAGAGGGATTTTCCAAGTAAGAATTTTAGGAGGTGAAAAGCCATTGGTTATCAGACAGAAGATTGCCTGGAACTGCTCTTTCTGTAGATCTTGAGAAACTTGAGTACTTTTGCTTAGAAACCCCCTAACTCATGAGTTGCAGCTCAATACGCTGATATCTTTTAATTCTTTCAAAGAACAGAAGATATTCCACTCTAGCCAACACAAAGGCCTCTGGTTTTTAAGTTTATCATTTACCTTTAGCACAAATTTACAAGAGATAGCTGCGTGCATTAACCACCACCTCAAAATAATTCCCTAATTCTACAAATTAAACCCAGTTTAATCCATTTCATTTTTAAGTGGATTAAACTGCTTTCATAGCCTGGAGGGCTAGGAACTTGCTCTTTTAAAAAGTCCTGAGAAAGCTGGGATTGTCAGGATGCTGATATTTATGGATAGTTAATCTAAAGTTTGGGGAAGTTACCCTTTGGGACTATGGATCCAAGAATCCATGAGTCAGCATGGTCGTTGTGTGAATTCTATGAGTCCTAGCCAAAAGGTAACTGGTAATTATGTTAGCGCAAATCATAATGACTTAGTTTTAATACACTTGTTCATTACGGCTTCTTTATTAATATACTCCATTTCTGCTCAGGCCTGTAATTTTCCTTGACAAATTAGATGCAGAGAAGGCAGATACTGTACATAGGCACTATTTAAGCCATGGTCCAGAGGCATCCCCTGCCAATTCAGGAAATCCCATGGCCCATGCTGGCACCAACATTGGCATCAACACAAAATTCTAAGAGCTGGAGGAATGATCAAGACTTTATTACACCAGAGAAACAGCTGAGAATGCTGGCAGCCAGATCAGCACTTTGAAGAGAAGAAATACAGCTTTGAGCCATAGCAACACTTTCCCAAGAACAGCATTGCTACTGATACCCATTTTCAACCCTGTTTCAGAGGCCTGACTCCATAGGCTTTTCCCTCCACCACTGAGCAACCATCATGAGATGTGGAACATCTTCCACATCTGGGTATAGAACTCCCAAAACTTGCCCCTTGCATGTTGATGCATTCCCATGAGTCCAATTTGACTCAATGTCTCATTGCTACTTTGCCCTCTCTCTTCTGATGAGATGAGAATGTTTGACCTTCCTTGTGAGGACTAGATCCAGGGATAATGATTGCCCACTAGTTATCTAAGAAATCTTCATAACTTAATAAGCAGGAGTAGTATACTAGTTTTCTCCTACTTAAGCTCAATGCTTTCCATAGTATCCACCACAGTTTATCCATTGGTCTTCACAAATTTCAGTGGTCCTGTGTTTTACTGTCTGTTTGTTGGGCGATTCTAGGAGTTGTATTCCAGAACCTCCATTTTCTAAGCTCTTCTCCAACTATGTTGGTCCATAGCCAAGAAATGCAGTGCCCTAGCCCTCTTCAAGGCAATTCAGCAGAAGGATGCTGAATACCTTAGAACCTCCAGACACTTCAGCTTGTTCGGTGAATGATGCAAGATGGCTGCAATGCCATGCATTCACATATGATCAGTTAGTGGCACGCCTACAGCAACAAACAGCATAACAGAGAGCCAAGTAGCAGTCAGTAACTCTCACTGAAAAGATCTGACAAAGCTTCCTAATGTTGTATTCGTGAAGGCTTTCATGGCCAGGATCGAATTGTGCTACTCCTGTCCTCTGAAGATGCCAGCCACAGAGACTGGTGAAACGTTAGGAAGAACACGGCCAAAGAGTCCGAAAAACCCACAACAACCTTCCTAGTGTTGCTTGAAGAGGCCAAGACTCTAAGCAGGGCAGGAGCCCCAGTAAAACCCTCCTCCCCACAATGAAGAATGTGTGTTACAAATTAAAAAGCCATTGCTACAAAAACTGAGCTACGCTTACATGTAAGGAAATAGCTCAAGTATATGAACATTGGCTATTTATCATCATCATCTGCTCAGCACTTAACATGTAATTTCAGCTAAAAAAAACCCTCATCCGTCCAGACCAGTAAGGTCAGCTACAGCATTCCTCAAGCTGGTATATTCCAAATGTATCAGGCCACAACTCCCAATGACCATCCCAGCTGGGGGATGATGGGGTTTGTAGTCCTATTAATCCAGAGGGCTAGTTGAGGTCTACTTGGACTGGCAGCAGCTGTTTAAGGTGCCAAATAAGCCAACCCTCCCCAGTCCAGCTGCCTCAGGCTTTTCAGTTAGAAACTGTATGTCGAAGAATACATGGCTGCATTGTGACTGTCTGTCCATCTCCTTCATCCATTTTTTACACGTTGATCCTTACTGGAGGACTGCCTGCTGGTTATAGTAGTATTCTGAGCAACAGGAGATAAATTAGTTTGCAGTTCTTTCAAGCTGGGCTAATTTGCCCACATACAGTAAAACTAGGGTAAAATTGAACTTCTTCAGAGGCCAACCCACCTAAATATGCCTGATGCACACCAGCAAACATTCATAGGCAAAATAAGTTCTTCCCCACATTCTCTGGGCCTGCATTTTATAATTATCCTCTAATAACCCCATACAGAAGAAGCCCAAGAAGTGGGTAAAATGTTGCACTAGGATTCAAAATCCTAAGCACAAATCTCCCTTTGAATCTCATTAGGGTGTGGCAGTGGTAAACCACTTCTTGAGCATCTTCCACAATTCAAAAATCAATTGTCATGGAGTGGTGGCTAGCTGTTGGACAGAAAGAAAAGAGACTGGAGTATTCTGAAAGAAATCATGACCATTTGGCATTCAGAGCAGGAGACTCTGTGTTGCAACATGTTATTGCAGATACTAATTGTGTTACATTTTAACATTCATGGCTCACATTTCTTATTGTGACCCACAAAACTATTACTCCTGAAAACACTCTCAAAGGCTAAAGCTAGGCCTGGGGATGAGTCAGAAACCACACTCTTCAAAAAGTTGGCTCACTTTCAGTATAACTTTTTTTTGGCATTAAGAGCTTCACCTTTGACTTTAAAATGGAGCAGGCCGACCTGACCCTTCCCTATGTCTTTCTCTTCAATTCTTTCCCTTTTCAAAAATCTAACACCAAAGGTCATTTGGGTCTGATAAACTGACTTCCATGGGCATTTTCTTTGAAAATGTTCTCCTCTTTCCTGCTGATGCAACTGTGTTAAACCACAGAAGTTTAAACTCCCACAGCTTGAAAAGTCATTCAGGTTGGGAACCAACTTGAACTGAACTTCACCTTTCAGGATTCCTAAACCTGCCATAAGGTGCTTTCAAAATGGCCAACTGCTGAAACTATTAAGAAACTAATAATGAATCTGAAACTACCCTCCATCATCCATTTCCCAAAGTTTGCCCAATCAAGCTGGATTAAAAATTGTTTATTCCAGGGTCTGGAAAAGACTACAACACCCAGCATGGCTTTTGCTGGGGGATTTGGGGAGTTGTTGTTCAAACAAGTTAACATTTCCAGGGCTGTGTTTTATCTACTGCTTTTACTTACTTATTAGATGTGAAAGAGCTAATTCAGTAATACTCCTTCCTAATAATTTCTTTGGATTGGATCCAGCCTTTATCAGAACAGATTTACTAAACTCAGAGAGACTTCAGTTCAATCATGACTTCATTAATTTCATTAGGATTACTCTAAGTATGATTAAACCGTGCTTTGCTCTGTACAAAGGTGTTATGATCCATGCAGACTCACACTGATATTAAATTGCTAAAGTGCTATAATACTGCCCTTTTTTCTTTGTTAACTTGTTCCTCGCAGTTTCTCTTGTTTCCTACATCCAATAATATCTAAGGGAATTGGTCTGCAATGCTATATGCAAAGAGAAAATCTACAGAAGTCAGGGGAAGCTACCTCTGTGTAAACGTGCTACAGAGCATTGAGCTTTGTATGTGTGTGTGTTGTGAGAAATATATTACTACTACTACTAAACTATCCTAGAAACAAATTTACAATAGTAGGAATATTACTATTGTAATAATAATATTACTATTGTAATATTACTAATATTATGACATTCCATTTAAGATTTACTACCAAGGAGGATGTAAATGTTCTCCCTCCCTTCACACAGAAGATCCTTCATTTAAAAACAAGCCATTCCTTGTTAGCCAATATTCATCTTCATTTATTATGTATCTCTGGTTAACAGCCCGGAAAGCCACTGAAGTCTCACACACCCCAAAGTCCCAAACACCATCTGCAAGTGCCAGAGTCCTGAAATAGCCCGATCGATCTCTTGTAAGCCGATCCTGTATTAAACCACTTGTATTTCTAAAACAGCTGCCCTGCTTTATCTACCGCTAGATACAGGAAAGTAAAACGTGATCTAGGGGCAAGATCTGCCGGTGTCATGCGCAGTAAATCGCCAAGGATTTCTGACCTCCACCGCTTTATCAAAGTGTCAACATGACTTCCCCTCCCTCTTCTTGAATTCCCCCTCCCCGAAAATTAGGCTGCTGAAATGGGAAGGGGATAGATTGTAGTGAACCGGAGTGGACGTTTATGCAGCCGTGTCCCATGAAATCGATTCAATTCTGATACGCAAAACCAGTTTCTGGACCCCGAAATCCTTAATCCTAAGTGTGTGTCTTTTGTACCTGAATCTCAAGCTAAAATAAGCAAATACAGTCGATTCGAGTCCCCTTCCAAGTCGGAGCGCTCCCGCTTTTGCTGCCTGAGTGAGGAAACCGAACTGCCGGTCCGCTTCGCAAGCATCCTACCAAGCGCCGGAGGGATCCTCTCCTTTCCCCACTGCGCCCCCCACCGGTAGCCGGCGGGATCGCTCTTCTCGGGTGAAGGGGGCGAAAAGTTAAACTTTTGCGTCTTTTCCGCCAACTCGCCCCATTCCACAACTTACGGTAAGTGATATAACCATTTGATTCTTATCACCGACCGAGAAGTTTTCGATAGAGCTGTGGAAAATGACAGCGATAGCGATGAGGTGAAGATGAATCGCAAACAGAACTGCTCTACACGGCGGGGTTTTTGTTTTGTTTGTTTGCAGTGCCAGTGATAAGGATCTGCAGCTTTCACAACGCAACCGCTTCTCACTTTCTCTTTCTTTTGGGGCAGGGGGAAAGGTTCCCCGTCCCCCCTCCCCAGAGACCGCGCGCGATCGGCGACCGCCAAAGCAACAAGACGGCAGCCGCAACCACTTTCCTCGCCGAGGAAGACACGGAGCGGCGGGATCTAGCGCTGAGGTGGGTTCGCTCAGCGATCGCCGCTCAGGACAGCTTTCGGATGAATGGACTTTTACTTTCAGTTAGATGTTGTGTATGCGTGTGTGTGTTGTGGGGAGGCGTACAGTTTGAATTAGGCTCTCGCCAGACTCCCGGTTACGAGCCGAAATCCATTCACTATCTTCGGAACAGAAACTTTCCCGCCCCACCCCAAAAAGAAGACCACATTCCGAACACGGCCGAAGAGCCCGAAAAACCCACAACAGCCCGAAGACCGAATGGCTCGTTTTCGGAGACGGCGAGGGCAGAAGAGGTGGAAAAACCGGCACGCCCTTACCTAGAGACGCGTCGCTCGAGTCTGAAATCCAACTGGTCGAGCAGACTCCTTGGATTAACTGCTGAATGGTAAACCAACAGGGACGGACATCCCATTGGGTCTACTCTTAGTCGAGGGTCGCAACCGGATTTAGCCCACCTTTCCGCGCCGCGCATCCAGAGGACCCCTTTCCACCGACTCAGAGTCTCTCTCTCTCTCTCTCTCATCTCACACACACACAGACACACACACACACAGAGGCGTCCGGCTGTCTTACCTGATCCTTCCTTCTTGTCCCACTCTGTTCTGAGTTTCTTTCGTTCTTTCCAGTGTTTGGAAAGCGAGAACGCGACACCGACCAAACGCACACCGGGGGGAAAACCTCCCCGACACAAAGAGAGTTTTGAGAGGCAAAAGTTCAAAATGATGGAGAAAGCAGGGAAGAGGGATCTTCGTCCCGGCGATCTCGGGAAAGCCGGACGGGGCTCGTCGCTCTCCGGAGTTGACTCGGCGCGGCGGCGGCGGCGAGCGCCGGAGCAACCTGGCCGGGCGCGCGTCTTCGAACCTCTGGCTCCCGGCACGGTTGCATCACCCCCTTTATATAGCCCGGCGGGCAGCGTTGCTATTTGCCCTGGCCGCGAGTCCGGGGCTGATGTCATGCCACTTAATAGCTTCTTCCGCGCGCGAAAAGGGTAGGCGGCAGGGGCGTGGCCAGGGCTTCTCCGGGGGCGGAGCGGCGGGGTGATGCAAGGCTTCCCCGGGTTCGGCGCGGG